TACGTGTTATTTTTTTTCCTTTCTAGAACGAGAAAAAAAATTTTCAGGCGAATCAAAATTTTGATTGTAAATCTGATATGGGGAGCGATCGCGTGCACGATCGAATTCGATCGGTCGACTTCTCATACGTCTCTACTCTACAGGTTTCATGGTTCATGCTTATTTATTATAGGATAGTTTCCCTCAGACCATAGATTGATCATGTACGAAGAGTGGTATCGGATGGCATATTCCTTCTCGAATTCGAATTCGATCGGTGCACGCGATCGCTCCCATGGAATGACCCGTATGCTAGTTCGTATGCGCCTTTCCTGGATACGATCCTGAAAAGGGCGCAGGCACTTTTAGCCGTTGATACACTGTTGGCGCGAATAAAAACATGGCGGAAAATTGAGAACGCCCAGATCAAAGGTGCCGACAGAGAGTGAGCATACTGGTTATACTGTGACCAAAATTGGTTCACGGTGAGAACACACCTTATCTTCTTACATCATGAATATTATTCCAGGATATATACATATGTATGTATTTCGCTGTTAAAAAAAAGAGTATATCATTACTTATGTTACGTTTAAAAAATTGTAAGTTAATAAATTACAATTCATTTGTTTTAATTGATAAGTTTAACATATTACAATTCTTGACAACTACGTACATACATTGTAAGAAATAAAATTATCTAAAGAGTATATCATTTTTTCGACATTGTATTTATTACTATTTCAAATGTTGCGCTTTAGTAGGCCACACCAATATGGCGCTTACTGTTCCCCCCTTACGTCTGCTTAGGCAGGCTGAGGGAAAATTGCTCCCTCCAGTTATTCTTTCCTCCATGGATCAAACGTGTCCAATGCCGAGACAACACGAGGCTATCAGCTGATTTTCGAAGGTTGTTATCAACGCCATGTAACTGAGGTATCTCTTGCCCACTCATAATACAGCGTACAACGCTTTAACGTGGGTATTGCACATTGCACGCTAGTTGCATACATACGATATGCACTGAAATAATATTAGAGACAAGACTAACTTAAGGAGACGCACGGATTGGAAATCGAGCAGGAGCAATATCCGGAGAAAAGCGATGAACTCGCAGGCTGACGTCAGATCGGGTGAGACAGAATTACGCGATTGATTTTTACAGGGGAAACAAATTGGAATTCGCATAGTTTAAATGTTGGTTTGCGAGTGTGTAGGCATATAAAAAATAGCGCGACACACTTGCCAAGTAATACATGCCAAAACGTTTAACTAACTTGATAGTAGAGTAGATAACTCATTGTCAGTGAATCCACGTGGCCTCCTGTTTTTATATAACTTATTATTAGTTTTATATACTTTTCGGATATGTTTATTCCAATGTATTTTAGTTACTCTTTTGTTTTGAAATCGAAATGCGACATGTTCTTTTCACATTTCGCACTTCTTTGAAATTTTCAGTTACAAAAGTTGTGCTAAATTGAAGAGAAAAAAAGATTAAATATGTAAATGTGTTTAAAACTTACATACTTTGTAGGGATGCCCAAAGCCCAAGTCAATGGTGGAGCATCGACAAGAAGAGCAATAGTAACTGTTGGACTCATCTTTATAGCCTCATTAACTTCATTATTTTATGTATATACGAGTTTTCCAGAATTAAAAGAGTGAGAATAGCTGTTTATCAATATATCTTTGCAACTTTCAACTTTATACATTTTATACCAGATATATATATATATATATAATATGGGTTGTTTGTGTATTTCATAGAGATGAAAGACAACATATGAAGCTGCCGCTTCACATAGAAGATGCCAAGAACTTGGGAAAACTGTTAGAACGATACAAGGACTTGTATTACTTCCAAGTACTGGCTGGGCTATTCGTCACTTACATCTTGTATCCTTGAATACTCCAATATTTTTGCTTTCAATCTGTCTCACCAAAGTGTGTTCCTTACATCACATCTCAATAGCCTGCAAACGTTCGCCATTCCTGGCTCCATCTTTCTCTCGATCCTGTCTGGATTTCTATTCCGCTTTCCGATTGCGCTACTGCTCGTGTGTACGTGCAGTGCGATCGGCGCAACTCTATGCTACCTACTGTCCTCATTGCTGGGCAGACGGTTGCTGTACAGATACTTTCCGGAAAAGGCGAACGAGTGGACGATTACCGTGAGCAAGCATCGCGATAATCTGCTAAACTATATGTTGTTCCTCCGGATGACGCCGTTTCTGCCCAACTGGTTCATCAATCTGGCCAGTCCAGTGATCGGTGTGCCAATAATGCCGTTCACCGTTGGCACCTTCTTCGGCGTTGCACCACCCTCCTTTGTCGCCATACAGGCGGGTCAGACGTTGCACAAGCTTACATCGTCAAGCGACGCGTGGTCGTGGAACAGTGTAATCATATTGTGCGTGTTTGCGTTACTTTCCTTGTTACCTGTGCTGTACAAGCAGAAACTCAAGCAGAAGTTCGAATAAAGACCAGAACGCTCTTTTGACGATACCCTCAAAGTGATAGTCCGATATTACACGAGGGAAGTTCTTCGATTGTGTCCGTGAAGTGAAATCTTCTGTCGAGATATTCTAGCGGTATCTTAAGAAATTGAGAAAAAATTATATCAAATGTGAATAATGTTGGGATTAGGGTCAACTTTCGCGCACCGTGTATGCAATCATTTGTATTTGGACATTGGATCATGTATACAGGATAGTAGGACAAATTTCCAGGAGCACAATTTCCGCATAACTTATTTATTATTGTTTATAATTTATTTCTACAAACATGTGTCTTATAGATTATGTCAAGTCACATCGTTTAAAAATGACACTTAAATATATAGGTAAAGGTGAAAACAGGCTTATTTTATTACGAGAACCACAGATAGGCCTATATTTTAAACAATATTAGGAGATGATCTTAGAAAATTCCATGTTGATAGGCTGCTGGACGTAATTGTTTATTTTATCTCATACATTATTGTATCGAAAATAATACTTTACTCGATATCTAAATCAGCAAAGTCTTATATATTATTAATTATTATTATTACTAGATATATTAATACATATATATCAGTGTTGGAAAGTTGAAGCAAATAAAAAGTTGGAAAAGTTAAAACTAATAAAAAAGGAATGTGCAGGTACAAACTTAATTTATTAATTTTATTAAATGCGCTTCACCGTATTTGGCTGCATGGTTTTGGCACAAGGTTTTTTCCTACCGGTGATATCAACAAAACGAGGTTAAATAAGCAATAGAAAGATCAGTAGCATTGTACACTGGTAGACTCACGGGTCTCCAATACCACCAATTGTACCATACTTGAGTGCCATAAAAGAAAACAAAATGTCCAGTATAAAATATAAATTAAAAAAGAAAAGTATATGAATAATCTGTTATGTCTCTCTAATACTCACGTGTATGTCCAGCGGACAATAAAATGGTCCAAGATCTACAATGTTGAGTGCACTCCAAACTCGGCATCATTTTTATCAGTCTTTCACCAGCCGTGCACCGTATTATAATATTACTGCACTCAGGATTAGGCTGAAAATTTACACATGTTGACTGTATTTACACAGCTGAGACATGACAATGAGAACGCTCGATGTACCAATGAATAAGGCAGTGATCCTGATTCGTCGATGAAAATATATCTGTCTGTGCCTTGACTCCACCAATTTGGAGTCTCCGCTGGTTTCGGAAACAACTTTCGGAGTATTCTACTGGGCTTCATACGATTTACTCTCCAAGATATGTGAGTAGAGAGGGAAGCGGTATGAAACATGTCCAGTCTCTTGTCCGCAACATCACGGATAATTCTGTACAAATAGACAATGTACTTGATCAGATTTAAAAAAATATACATATATGTTACACATATATTGACAATTTGACACTCGGTAATGATTGAATTAATTGGAACTAACTTAAAAGTTGCATTGTTAGAAGAGATTCTCTTAGCGTCTTCATCAAAGACATCTCGATTATTCCAATACAAATTGACTAGATCTTTCATCTTGACCTCGGTGTTATTCTCCGTTCTAGTGTATGGTATAGCAACGTTGAAGGATCTGCTAATATTATGGCCGGTCAAATCTAGTATAGAATGAACGCCGGTGCAAGGCCAGCAATCCATATCATTGACATAGAAATAGGGATTCTCTAGCAAGCACCATTCATCATACAATTCTAAAGTAAAGAATATATTAATTCCATCTTAATCCTCATATTATTATATGTGTACGATGTATTAACCACATAAGCCCATCCAGAGAATACAAACCAGATAATGACGGATACAGGCTAACGATCGGTACAGCCGCCTTGCGCAATATATATAAGGCCGGGTAAATAGAATTTTGCGAAATTCTTATAAATAAAACGTTTAACCAACTTTGGCATAAATATAATAATAGGATAGAGATAAGAGCAAATGATAATACAATTCGCAGAGGTCTCGACCGTTTACTCGATCGCTTCAAATACTTGACCTCCAATTGTCGGAAGCAAGCTCGAAATATTTCCGACGTTTGCGCCTCAGAGACATCATGAACGGCCGCGTATTCTCTGATCTGTCGTACACCCTCTCTGTACTCGTCCAGATCTAGCTGGACCATAACCGCGACTATCGAGTCTCTCCTAGGGAGGTCTTACTTTTTTTTGTTTTCCCCTCTGCGGGGACGCCGTCAACCGCTAGGTTATTTGGCGTGTCTTCTTGCTCTTGTGTTGTTGCCTATATCACCACCCCGGTTCTTTTGATGTACTACTGATATAAAGGTCGGTCTACAATAAGGTTGTATGTAGCACAGTATAACCAGTAGTTGCTCTCTCTGTCGGCACCTTTGATCTGGGCGTTCTCAATTTTCCGCCATGTTTTTATTCGCGCCAACAGTGTATCAACGGCTAAAAGTGCCTGGGCCCTTTTTAGGATCGTATCCAGGAAAGGCACATACGAACTGGCATATACATTATTATTTATTGTAAATGGAAATGGCCTATGAAAGAAAATGTTCTAATAAAAGTAATTAATGTAATTACTTGCTCCAACGTATAAAAGTATTTACGCGTTATTCGTCAACACTGCGAATTTTTCAATGTCACACCGACTTTGTACTAACACACGTACAAAAATCCTGTGATTGGTCAGAATAAAAACATG